ACACTGAACTCACATGGGCAGCAGTTACTGAAGAATGTGCAGAGTTCAGGATCTCCTAGTTTTTAGATGACCCCAGCAGGCCTCCGATTCAGCCATCACCAAGACTGACTGCCTGGGTGATTGGCCTCTGCCCAGGGGCCCGAAGGATCTAGTCCAGAGGTTCTAGAAGAAGCTAAGGGTGCCTGAGGGGTCCAAAAGTAGACTGAGAGGACGCAGGCAGCCTTGAGAAGGGAAAATGAGCCCCGGTGTTTATGGGTAAAAGAGAAGACCCAAGGCTCAGTCCTGGAGGAAGTGCGGGATCTCCACTGGCATAGAGGCCTGGGAAGAACATTTCTAGTCAAGGGAACAGCAGCCGAAAGGTTGGTAAGCAGCCAGGGAGGTGGGTCATTCCAGCTTTTGATCGGCTCCTAGCCAGCCTCTGGGGCAGGCTGGGCAGGAGGTTGAACCAAACCTCATCCTGGCCCTGGGCCAGGGGTGACTCCTCACTGCCTCCCCCTCCTGGTGCTGCCCAACCGGCTGCCCCACACCCCCTCCCCTCTCAGGCCCCTTCCCAATTCTCCCCCTCTCCTGGTTCCAGTTCCGGGGGTGGGGGCTGGGTGAGAGAGAGAGCAGGCAGTGGCGCCTGGGGCAGGGGAGATGAGAAAACCAGAACGTAAGGAAATCTGAGCCAGCAATGTTGGGCGGGCCAGGGCCTGCTCTGCCTGCTAGGCCCGGGAAACAGGTTCCCTAGAGATTGGCGCAGGGGAGGGAGTGTAGAAACCACCTTCGTCCAAGGGGCGTGGTGGGTCTCTGAGGTCTTCCAAGTCCAGCCTTCCTATGCAGAGGGCTGAGGGCCTGGTCCCTCTCAGGTTAGCTGGGGCAAAGCATCTTGAAGCTTCTGTCTCTAGCCTGTGGTAGGCCTGGCAGCCAGATAGAGGATGTAGAGGCAGCAGGAGGCCAAGAGGCTGCAATGCAGTTCCCACAGAACAGCCTGGAAGAGAGCTACAGGAAGAGAAACAGATACAAAAGCTGCCAAGAAAACCGTTTCGGCCAGGTTGAAGGGCTGCAGGACCCGAGGAAGGAGCTTTTCTCTTGTTGTTAGGGGCACCATCACCCAGGGTGGGACCAAGCCAGTTCCTGCCCACCTGGAAACCCCAGAAGGGTAGAGGAAGCCAAGTCACTAACGCCCTCCCCTGACCCTATCATGTGACTAGAGCGGAAGCTACAGAAGAAGCACATGATGCCTGGAGATGGGGGTCTTACAGAGGAGGCAGGGAAGCCTTTCAGTTTACTCTTAGAATACCCTCTCAGGGGGCACTTGAAGGCTCTGGGTGTCAGGAAGGAATGGGATGAAGACAGACGGTCATTGAGCTAGGTAGGATGTTAGCTCTCTCACCTCTGGGCTTCTTGGCTTACCTTATCTTTTGGATGGAGCTAGTGCTTCATAGTCATTCAATAAAGATATATTGAACTCTGAAAGTGAGGCTTGGGGCTCCAGCACTCTGCCAACCACAGAGCACCTGTCTGTCATGTGCCTTTGGTTCCCCATAGGCACCAGAGTCTGGCCTTCCGCCCTGGGGCTTTTTCTAGACTCCTGCTTTCTTCAGTCCGGTGACCACCGACTTCTCTCTATCTCTTCCTCCATTCTACATGGGAACAATGGGGCCTACTTCCTAGCAAGATTGAGGATCACCCAGGGTGAGCAAGAAGTTAGAATCCTTGCTGGAATAGGTGTCCTCCCAACTTGTGGTTGCTTTTTGTTTGTTTCTGCTTTTTAAAAATTACATGTGTTTTATTTTTATTTTATGTACATTGGTGTTTTGCCCACGTGTATGTTTGTATGAGGGTGTTGGATTCCCTGGAACAGGAGTTACAGACTGTTGTTGGGAATGGAACCTGGATCCTCTACAAGAGCAGCCAGTGCTCTTAACTGCTGAGCCATCTCTCCATCCCTTGTTTTAGCTCTTTGAGACAGAATCTCACTGTGTAGCCCTGGACGTGGCAATGTAGACCAGGCTGGCCTCAAACTCACATAAATCTGCCTGCCTCTGCTTCTCAGGGGCTGAAATGAAACCAGGGAGGGTTTAAAAAAGTTCTTTGGATCCCTAAAATTTAAGACAAAATTGCAGAAAACTACATACTCTTTCTTCAGACAGTACCGTAAAATAACACCCTGCAAGGCTGGGAACGTAGCTTCGTTGACAGACTTAACAAGCGTGCACAAAGTGCTGAGGTTTGATGCTCGGCACCACGCGCTGATACCCGACTGTACCCCTGCACGGTGGAGGTGGAGGTAAAAGGAGGACCATGAGTTCAAGTCATCCTTGGCTACTAGGAAGTTTGAGGTTAGCCTGAGGTACGGGACGGTAACTCACAAAGATCTGCCAGCCTCAGCTTTCCTGAGTGATGGGACTGAGGGCCTGAGACACCATCCTCTACTTTTGCTTGTTTTCTGTGGAAGGTATCTCACTGGGCAGCCTCAGGCAGCTCCTAACTCTCAAGTCCACTATCGCAGACTCTGAAGTGTTGGGATCACAGGACAGGCTCCAGTGACTAACTTACTACTCGGGAGACATTTGGGGGCTTTTGCTTTTTTCTCCTCTTCTTCCTCCTTTTCTTGAGGATTTTTGAAATAGGGTCTCACAATGTAGCTCAGGTTAGCCTCCAACTTGCTTTGTAGCTGAGGATGACCACAATTCTTGATTGTCCTGCCTCCACCTCCCACCTGCTGGATTGTGGGTGTGCACCACCATGCTTATCAATACTCAGATACCCAATTTTTAAAATATTCTTTATTCAGCCCTCTTGAACTGTTTAGGTGGAGGTCCTGGCCTTCCACTCTGCATAGTTAGGTTCAATTCTTGTTCCCCTTCTCATCATCCCTATCATCTGAGGCCTTTGTGTGACAGGCTGTTCTGCGTCTGAGCGGTTCTTCACACAGACAGCTCAGTTGAGAGCTGTCCTTTCCAACCCTGAGCTTGGAGCTCTGCCACACCCTCTGCCTTTGGGACCTTGAGGATTCTGCTGTTGCTGCTGCTGTCAGAGGGTTTCAAGGAGACAGGTGGAGGCCGTGGAGGAATGAAACAGATGGTCCAAAAGCCACAGTGATGGCAATAATCACTTTAAACATCTTCAAATTATTTTATGTATGTGGTGCTCCGTCTGCATGGTTGCCTACACACCAGCAGAGGGCAGCAGATCCCGTTAGAGATGGTTGTGAGCCACCAAGCGATTGCTGGGAACTGAACTCAGGGCTTCTGGAAGAGCAGCCAGTGCTCTTAACCACTGAGCCATCTCAGCCCCTGGGATAGCCACTTAATCACATAAGGAGTCACGGTAGGCCTAAGCTATCATGGTGATGGTGTTTGCTGTGGTGGCAACCACAAAAGTGGTCCTCGTGTGGCCCGGTGAGGACGAGGTGGGTGACTGTCACAGTGATTTCTTTATCTCTGGCGCCGCAGACTGAATCCAGAGCCGTGCGCATGCTAAGGCTATGCTCTATCAGCAAGGAGCAAGCACCATCCGCCCTTGTCGGTGCGTGGTGGGCATTTTATTTGTTTTATCTTTTGAGACAGGATTTTACTGTATAGCGCTGGCTGGTCTGGAATTTGTCATGTTGACCAAACTGGGTTGGAACTCAGGTAAATGCTGGGGTTAGAGGCTCAAGGCGTATGTCACCACACCCAGCCTCTTGTTAGTGTTTTGAATGAAGCACACAAGGGAAATCAGGTGCTGTCACTCACTATGGTCACCACAAACAGCAGGCAGATGTTTCCTCAACTTCAACACCCACCCGTCTCGGAAGTAGCACCTCACTTCTGAGTCAGGTGACCCTCAGCGGTAGCCCAATATGGCTCTCCACCTCATACTTACAGTCACCCCGTCAGTGGGGGTCAGAGGAAGATTGGCTCTCCTGGGAGTCTTAGCCAGGAGAAGAGGGCGGAGGAAGAGGAGTAACAGAAAAGGAGAAAGAAAAGAGAGCAGGAAGAGGAGCAGGGAAAAGAGAAGGACAAATGGGGGCAGGCCAGGCGTAGGAAGGAGAGTAAGAGGCTGAGAAAGAGGGAGAAAGGAGGGAGACAGAAGAGAAGGAGAGTCGGAGGAGGAGGAAATAGGAGATAGAGGACAAAGAGGGCCACAGCCCCTGGGGACCACAGCAAGAGTGTGTGGGGAAGGGCTGAGAAGTGGCTCTGGCTGATGAGGCCGTGACCTTGGGGGATGGGCTGCTCAGAGGGACCCTTGCTGGGGTCAGGGGAGGCTCTGGCAATTGTTGAGGGTATTTGAAATCAAGTGCTCCTTTCAGAGCGGGAGGCCTCTAATCATCTGGGTTCTCTTGACCACGGCACTGTAAAGGGAAAGTCTGTGGGAGCCGCTGGCTTGAAATAAGACTTACTGGTGGTTGAGGTGATCACTTGGGAGTATTTGGGGAGCTGAACAAAGCTAGTGGCGAGCTGCACCGACTTGACCTCCTCTGGAGGCAGCCATCTGTCGGAAGGTCCAGAAGTGCCAGCCGTCCCAAGGGCTGCACCGCCACCTGCTGAGAGGCCTAGGCCGTCCCAGGTCCTTCGCCGCGGGGCCCCGGCTGGCGGCAAGTGGGAAGTGGGGACGCAGACGGGGGCGCGCAGGTGAGTGCAGGCTGGGTTGCTCCCCTGCGCTCCAGCCCTTCTCACCAGGGAGTTGAGTGCCCGGGTAAACACCAGGCGCGATGTGCGCGGTGTATCCACGGAGAGACAAAGCCAGGGCGGGGCGGGGGCGCCGCCCGCGATGCCAGGGCGGGGACGCAGGGCGCAGAGCAGCCTCCCCTGGCGCGGGTCGCCCACCGCCTGGGAACCCCGAGCCCAGCCCGCGGACAGGTGGAGCGGGGGCGGGGCGGCGGCCGGGAGGGTCCCGCCCCGGGGGTGGGGCCGGGCGGGCCCGGCGGGGCGGGGCCGTGCTATGCAAATGTCGCCCACGGGCGGCCAATTGCCTGCGCTTCGCGCGCGGCTCCGAGCGTCCCGTCCCGCCAGCGGCCTCGAGACCCGATCAGCTAGGGAACAAACCGCAGCGGTCCAGGGAGCCCGGAGCGCAGCGGAGAGCCAGGGCACGCCTCGAGGACCGGTGCAGCCCCGCGCGGTCTCCGGGCCCTCGTCAGGCAGCCAGGCGAGCGCAGCGCCATCCGGCCGAGCCCAGAGCAGCGCTCCGTAGCCTAGCGCGCGCCGCCGCCCGCGCCCCGCACCGGGGAATGCGCCCTCGGCGCGCAGGCCAGGGGGCGCCCGCAGCCCGCCCCGGGGGAGGCGGCCCCGAGCGCCCCTGAGCCTTTCCATGGCCCGGGCTGGGGCCCGGGGCCTCGGCTGCTGACGTGCACTAAGCCAGTGGAACCAGGGAAGCCGCGGCCGCGGTGCGGATCCCGGCCCAGGCTCCGAGGCAGGAGGGCGCGGACAGGGCCGTGTCCCCGGGGGGCCGCTCGAGCGGACCGGCCCGACGCGAACCTCTCCGTTGCTGCGGCGGACACTGCCTCCCGGGCGCCCAGGCCCTGCCGCCGTGGACGAGGTGAGTACGGAGGGAGCGCGACCCCCCGACCCCATTGGAACCCGCGGCACTCCAACTCTTTAGAAGTGCGTGAGGTCTGGCGAACCGTGACACACTGCCCGTGGGCACCAGACGACAGGACTGGGATGTGCTTCGTACCTGTCCCCGCGGCCGGGACCCCTCAGCCTCCCGGGCAGTGTAAAGATGTGGGACTGGGTGATGTGGCCTGCGGGGTCACCGGGGTGTGAAGAATTAACTTTTTCCACCCCCGCCAGCCAGGTTTTGGGTGGGCACCCTCAGCCTCGCGGAGTGGGAGTTCGGATCCTTCTGGTTTTAGTCCTCTGCTGACGCTTGCGGCAGCACTCTTTCCCAATCGGTGCGTGTGCCCTGCCTCAGTGTCCCTAGTCTGCAGACCAAGTCAGCCTCCAGGGAAAGTCTAAATTGGAAGCCCCTGTGTGGAGGGGTCTCCCGGAACAGCAGGGCAAGAGGATCTGGCTCCGAAGGGCTTTTCCTCCAGCCGTTTGCCGACCTCCTCCCCCAGCTGCAGCTTGGTCCTGCTTGGGTTCAGGGGTGTAAGTGAGATGTTTTCTAAGTTGGAAGAGCCTGCAGTCGAGCCTCAGCTGGAACCACGGGCCCTAATGGATAAGTGGGCGCGGGGTACCTAGAGCAGGTGAGGCACAGTAAAGTGCCGAGATGAAGAGTCCTTTGGAACTAAGGCTGAGGTCCCAGCTGGGCCAGGAACTCCTCGTTCTTGAAATTGGTGCATTTTGCCACCAGCCCGTTAACATCTGGGCAGAGGACAGACTGAAGCCTCCCTGTGTCCACCGTGGAGCTGGGCCAGGGAGGACGACCCCTACAACCCCTCATTCACTCTGTTTCTACAGAACCCGCTACCCTACTTACAGATACGGGAAAACGGTCCAGGGGATGGACCCGGGCTTCTCCAGCTGCCCAGGGGGTGTGCCTAGACCCCGTGGGACTATGTTGTCTGGGCCAGGCAAGGATGCAGGAATATCTACCCTCGCTGCTCCCCCCCTTAGTTCCAAAGGAGCCAGGCCCGGAAGTAGGAAGGTGGGGGTTGGAGAGGCCAGAAGCCCAGCCTCAGCCCCCGCTACTCCGCATACCTTGGGGGTGGGGGTAGGTAGGGAGCCTGGCCCAGGTGACCTTGACTGGGAAATCCTGGCCACAAAAGGGGGTTTCGGTCCAAGCAGGTCTGCTTCCTGGTCCATGAGGTGTGTGTTGGGGGAGGGGGAGGCTGAGGATCCAGGAAGGAGTCTTGTGGGGGGGGGTTAGCTGAGAAGCTGGTGGGGTGCTGTTAGTTATTTCCTCCGTGTTCCCCCGCAGCCCTGTTCTTCTTGCCTTTGCCTTCCTTCAATCGAGGCAGTTCTCAGCTAGAGGAGCCAACCTCCCTTTACTAAGACAGGCTCCCCCGACACACACATACACCCACACATACACACGCGAGCGAGCACACACACTGTGAGCTTGGGAGGTCTGGATCAGGCTGGACAATTTGACCACCTGGCCCCCTGTCCCTCCCCCAGGTGCCTCTGGACCCCTTCCTCTGTCCGCCCCTTCCCTGCACCCCTTGCCAGCCCCAGCTCCTCGTTTCTTTGTTCAGGCGTCTCTCCTCCGTCCCTCCCTCTCTCCTCCCTCTCTCCTCCTCCCGCCTGCTGCCTCCCTCTCTTGTTCCCTCCCGCCAGCTTTCTTCTTCTCCTTTTGGGTTTTTCTCCTGGTGGGCTCCCAGGTGGCGGTGGCCCCTGTCCACCTACTTGAGCTTTTTCTGACTTGGGGGCTTTGAGGGGCTAGGGCTGAATGGAAGTTATCCAGGGGCTAGCTGAAGGGAAAGGACTGTAGACGCCCCCTCCCCCTTCCTTCTCCTCTCCGTCCTTCTTTTCCTCTTCATCCTTCTCTTTCCTCTGTCACCACTCCTAGGCTCCCAAAGAGAAACCCTGGATTTAGTTTTGAGGCCCCAGCAGACTCCCATCACCCCCCATTTACTCCTTCAAGAGCCAGAAAATTGTGGGAGGTCCCTGTAGGAGCCTCATGGAAAGGCCCCCTACTTTCCTGGATGCCTTGAGTGAGTCCAACACTATCTTTGGTGACCCTGGCCTTGTCACTGTGAAGATGGCTACTGGAAAAATGAGGTCACAGAGGGGATTGTTGACATGAGCCCCCTGATCAAAGGCCCTCAGGGACTCAGACTGCATCTTGCCCTCCTAGCTTCCTTGAGCCGCACCCCACTAGCAGGTCAAGTTCTTGAGCAAACTCATGCTTGTGAAGACGTGCGTGGGCTTGCAGGTGTGGAGGTGTGTGTGTGCACGCAGGACTGTCCCTGGGGGCCTCCTGGTGCACCCTTAGGGTGAGGGACGCTGCATAGCCCTTCACCCCTCCTGCCTCCCTGCCAGAGCCTGCCTTTGTGCCCCCAGCAGATGGGGGAGGGGCTGGGTCGGAGTCTCCCCTCCCCCAGCCAGCCAGCCTCCCCGGGAGAGAGCCTCTGGGATGGGGAGATCTTGGAGGAATGAGAGGTGTGCCAGGCGCTCGAAGAGCACCTCTGGAGGAGCCGCCTGAAGCTGCACTTCCTGTCTGAGGAACCACGGAGTGGTTTTCCTTGGCAGCGGAGGCAGGGCTGGGGGCCGTGTCTGAGGAGGGCACTGGAGTCTTAAGAATCCACAGTGGAGCCTAGGCCTCCTCTCAGCCCCACACAGCCCTGGCTGGGGGAGTAATGAGTCACATGCTAATGTACACATAACCTCGGTGTCCTGGAGAAGGGTCTGTCCTGTTGCTTCCCATGGGGAAAGGGGCTAGGCAGGGCATTCCTGGGGGGTGAGGCTGTTACTCTTAATGCCCCCACCCCCCCGGTGCTTCTGGGTGGGGGGTGGGAGTTGGCGCAGATTTGTATCGGGAGGGAACAATATGTTCCAACAACTGGTGCTGGGCTGCGTTTACCCAACAGCCAGCCTGCCTGGGGAGACAATATTTGGAAAACACAGTATTAAAATTTGGACCTGCCAGGGATGTGGGTGACTTTGAAGGGAGCAATGCAGCTGGTGTGCATCCTATCACAGGTCCACTGGCCATTCGAGTATCCTTTCTGACCCCTGAGATGGTACTTTTTCATGGAGGAAGTCCTTCTGCCTGTCTAGCCTGGGTGCTTCCTGCTTTTTAGTAAATGTGAGTCTTTCCCTTTTGACTCTCTTGCTTTGGGCTATCTGTATGTCTCCTTCTTGTTCCCCATCCTCCCATAATTCCCTTCCATTCCAATATTAGGCCCAGACTTAGCTGCTGTGGGAGGAGAGCATTGGCTCAAGCAGACCTAGAGATGGGAGAGACGGACCACTGTAGATTCTGGGCGCAGTGTGGAAACCTACTGTGAACCACAGAGGGTTCCCATTGTCTGTGTGTGCTCCAGCATGGAGCTGAGGGACCAGTCAGCTGAGTGCCCCATCCGATCAGGCACTCCCCAGACAGAGGTAGACAGAAGGAAGTGCGAGGTTTGTCCTGAGTTGAGGCTTGTGAGGATGGAGACTCCAACACTCTTTGTTCAGGAAGGGAAACTGAGGCTGGACAAGGAAAAGTAGGCAGGGTGCTGCACTCTTGTAATCCCAGCGCTTAGGAGGTGAGGATGATCACTGTAAGGTCAAGGCCAGAGGGTTCTAAAATGAGGAAACCCTGTCTCAAAAAGAAAAAAAAAAAAAAAGGAAAATGGCTCATACATTCTAATCTTGTTCTCGTTCCAGGTGTCCAGAGAACTGGAGCCTGCTTCCTGGGCCCTAGGCCCCTCCCACAATGCTTGTCGCTGGTCTCATCCTCTGGGCTTCCCTGCTCACCAGGGCCTGGCCAGCTACCCACATCCAGGATCAGCTTCCGGCCACACCTAGAGTCCGACTGTCATTCAAAGGTAAGAGACTCTTTGCTCCTCCCTCAAACCATCCTTTCTTAGAGTGCTGGTTTTCCTGCACAGGAGAGAGCAGGGCACAAAGATAACGGATAGTCACTTGGATTTTCCTAGGCAAGCCAGAAGAGAGAACGCAAGACTCGCTGGGAAAGACTGGAACCCAGAGGACTAAGGCATTATGGGAAAGAGTCCTGAGCTGGGCACTGGCTCTTGGAGCCCTGGGTGATAACTAGAGAGATTTGCTGATGTCGAGCCTGTCTGTACCCCAGGCAGCTCCTACGGTTGAGGGTCAGACAAAGAGGTAGACTAGGCCAGCTGGAGGGGCAGAGACAGTTCTGCTGGGTGTGTGAGTGCCTGGGCGAGTGTTCCTGTGAGCTCGAGGCAGTGGGTCTTCTGGGATCCCCAGGGAAGGGCACTGTTGGCTGTGTTGTGTGGAGGATTGTGGGGAATAGAACACTTGATGGGCTTAGGGAGGATCTTTACCATTGTGAAAGGCTTTAGCACCTCTTAATGGAGGGCTAGAGTCTGCAGAGAATTCTAACATCTTTGCACCTAGCCCACCTGGCAGGTGAACGCACAGTGAGAATCCAGGACATGTGGCTTACTTGCTAGATACTTCCTCAAGGGACAGTGTGTGTGTGTGTGTGTGTGTGTGTGTGTGTGTGTGTGTGTAGGGCACCGTAGTCCTGGAGTGAAGGACAGTGGCTGTGCTGGGGTTGGGGACCAAGAGCTACTGCCCAGTTCTGTCTTGGCCATCCTCTGGCTAGAAGCAACACTGGCCAGCCTCCTGCCCTGGGTGGGGCTAGTTCAACCCAGGCTGGCCAGATTTCCCAGCAGCCACATTGGGTGAAAGGCTGGGCTGACCCTTCTTCCTTCCTTAGGCTTGGCTGAAGCTGAAGCCTAGCCCCTATCTCCTCACCATGGGCCCCCAGCAGCGGCCCAGGCCTCATCCCACACCCACAACTTGATTGGAGGAGTGGGGAATGAGCTGGTTAACTTTCCTAGGCCAGATGGGCAGACAAGAGTTAATCAGTTCTGTTTCCTAAAGGGCCTCCTTTCCCACCCAGGCTTGGGAAGGTGAGATATTTATTCGGCTGATATTTCCACCTTTCCCTGGTGGAGTAACCCAGAGCAGATTAATAAATCTTCCAGGGGCCTGTTTCCCCTCTCACCTCCCTGCCTTGGGCCATTGAAGTGTCCCTTCCCCCAACAAGAGAAGGGAGGGCCCTTGACCTCCACACCTCAGGACCCTGTGTCTACCACTTTCGGTATTTTTGTTACTCTTCATGCCAGAAAGAAGACATAGGTGGTCTTCTGTGTACTCCTTTTAAACCTCTGGGGGCAAAGGCTTTGTTCCTGTTTTCCAGAGAGAGAAACTGAGGCTCAGGCAAGGACAGGGCCAAGGTCAGGCAGGAGGCAGAGACAAGGCCAGAAATAGAACCTTGGTGTCCTGGGCTTGCTGGCGCCCACATCAAGTTGGGTCGATTCCCTCTCAATTAGCCCTGAAGCCGACACCCACAGTGACTAAAAGCCCAGCTTCCTGGCAGCCAGCCTACGGTGTTGTTTGCTGTGCCCGTGCTGGCCTGTGGTAGGGCTGGAGGATACTTGGGGCCGCCCCATCCTGGGACATAGTACCTCTGCCCAGGGAGGTTCATCAGCCACCGTGACCTCCCCGTGTCTCACCTGACCTTATATCAGAGTGTTCTTCAGTGTGAGCTCAGTTTAGCAGTTACTTGAGCACCTACTGTGCGCTGCTGCACGTTGCTGAGTCCTGGGCTCTCTGTGGTCGACAAGGCGAAGTGCGCATAGGGAGACTAGCTGAAAAACTCTTTATCAGGTGGTCCTGCTGTGGAACCCAGGCCCTGTGAAATCTCTCTCCCCTGCAAGCTGCTCAGGCCCACAAGAAGCGGGGAAGTAAGGAAAAATGTTTGTGGGATGAGAGTGGAGACGGACTCAGAGACTGGAGTCTCACAGCTAGCTTAGGGCTGGAGAGGAGTCGGGGGGGGGGTGTCTTTTTCCCTGGGTACGCAAGGGGTTCGTAGAGAGTTGCTCTCAAGCACTGCTGGTAACATGGGCTCCGTGACTCCGTTTCTCCTTCATACTCAGATGATACAACGGCTGGAAGCCAAGTTTGGGTGAAAAAGCCTGTCTTAACGTGCCTTAGGTTGTTATAGCAGAAGGTGCCACTTCCTGCTGGGTTTAGCAAGGCTCTCCTAGACAGAGGTGCTGGTGTGAAGGCCCACACAACCCAGGGAAGATAAAAGAACAAAGGCAGGAATTGGACCAGCTTCCAGCTTGCAGCCCACCCATCCGCCCAGGCACCCCAGATCTAGCTAGAGCCAGGAGGGCATGAGAGCAAAGGGGCCCCGAGTTCATTCAGACCGATTGGTTTCCGTGGTTCATCTCCTGGGCTTCCAGGAGCAGCACAAAGAGCTACAGGCGCGAACAGGGAGCTGAGTAGGACCAACTTCCAGGGGGTGCCAGGTGGGCCTTCTCCTCCGGCTTCTGGATGTCTGCTGGGGACCCTAGACAGTAGGCCCTTCCCCCTCTCCTGTGATGGTGCCTGGAGTCCCCTTTGCTCAGAGTCACAAGCTAAGTTCGGGTGGAAAAGCTTTTCCTTCCCCTGCCCTGGGCTACCCTAAGTCCTGGACAGCACCTCCCTCACAGCAGCAGGGAGGTGCCAGGCCCTGCCAGGCCCTTTGTTCAGTGTAGGGGATGTTTACTTTTCCCCAGGAAGGTGCCCCCCCACCCCCCAACATGCCAGTGCTGTCTGGGCTGGCTTTGGCCAGGATTAGGGGCTGAGAAATGTTTGGTGGGAGAAGGGGCTCTTGTGATGTGAAGTGGTTGGGCTGTTAGGGAAACTGAGGTGCAGGAGTAGTTGAGATGGAGCAAATAGCCACAATGTGTGAAGGGAGATCAGCCAAGAAGCAAATGGCAGAAATGGAAGTGGACCCCCTGGCTGAGGTGAGAGCCAGCCAGAGCCCTAGAATTAGGATCTCTGTGGATCTGGGCCAGCTCTGACCCCAGGTGCACCTGGCTCCCCAGTGGGAAGAGCACTGCAGGTGAGGGGCTGAGGGAGGTGTGCTGATTGCTGCCTTCACCTGTCTACTCACGTCATTTGCATGTGGACGTCAGTCGACCAGCTTGAAATGACAAGAGAATAGTCACAAGTCATTTACTTCGCCTGGGGTGGTGAATATGGGCTGAGGTGTAAGGGCTTGAAGCAAGCCTTGACAGAGCCTTGGCTCATGCTTAACTGGGGGTGGGTGGTAAGGGTGGGTCTGCAGAGCTGGAGTGTCTGGGGTTTCCCCCCTCCCCAAACTCTATGAGGAGCTTCTAATTGCAAAGAAGTGAGGAGGAGGAAGCTGCCCAAGAGCTGAGGCCAGCGGCAGCATCAGGGAGCTAGGCCGTGGTCAGGTGGCTTTGACAGCTACAGCGGGTTTGGAGCTCTTAAACTGGGGAGGGGTGGGCATTCCAGGATGGGCCGGGAGGACAGTTGGCCTTGGAGGAAATGGAGGCTGGTTCCCTGTGACTGCACGAGGCCAACCTGAGGCAGTTAGGCCTGAGCCTTGGCCTTTAACCCAGACCCTTCCCAAGCCATGGATGGGGCACGCCGGCTGGGCTTTCCGAAGCCCAGGCCTTGTCTCAGGCTCTGGCATGTCGCCCACCCCACCCTGCTGGCTCCAGCTTCCCTTGGCACTGAGTGGGGAGCTGGTGCATGCTCGAGGAGTAAATCATGTTCCCTGGCAGCCCTTGCGGCTTCGTAATCGTAAAGAATTTAAAGAGAAACCGCCAAGATACAAATCTCACCCGGGGCCCCTTAAGTCATCTTTTACCCTGTGGCTTGGGAGGCAGCAAACCCCAAAGAAGGCTCTTGGCAGCCTAACCTGTGTGTGTATGCACCCCTCACTCCTTCCCTTTCCAGAGGTGATAGCTCAGAAGGTGACTTTGAGGCCCTGACTTCTGCCCCCCCCCCCCCCCCCCCCCCCCCCCCCACCCCCCCCCCCTCTCCT